AGTGAGACAAGTATTACTTACTACTCGTTTAAAGTAGAATTTAAATGATTTAACACTAACTTCCCAAAGACCACCGTGATGAGGTGCTCTGGGGGGAATGTGGCTCCAGATTATTTCTTCTTCAGATAGAAAGTTTTGAAATAAAACATCTTGTTGCTCCATTAGTTTAAAAAGACGTTTGATTTCATTGTTAGTTCCTACAAAATTCGTAGCATTATCCGAAAGCATTTTTCTACATTTACCTCTCCTAACCATAAATCGTTTTAAAGCTGCAATGAGAGCTTCAGAAGAGAGATCAGATACTAATTCAAGATGAATAGCTTTCGTAGAGAGACATATAATAATGCAAAAATATATTTTAGTAGGAGGGTCCCTCTTGCGTAGCTTAGTTTTGATATAGAATGGCCCAGGAAAATCTATGCCAACAGAGTTAAATACAAAATTAGGATTAACTCTGTCCTCAGGTAAGTTTCCCATTTTTTGACTGCTTATTTTAGGATTAACTTTGAAGCAAGTTACACAACTTTGCACAATCTTTCTGCATAGATTTTGCCCATTTAATGGCCAAAATTTCTGTCTAATATTATACAACAATGCTTGAGGCCCTGAATGAAATTGACTTTTATGGTAATGCTGAATTATCATATCAGTAACCTTATGCTGGGAAGGCAATAGTATGGGATGTTTACTGTTGCAGGGAAGAATTGAGTTCCTTAACCTACCACCTACCTTCAGGATTCCTTATGAATCAAGAAATGGAGAAAGACTCTTTAACTTAGAATTGGGAGTCACATACCACACTGTTCAAGGCTGTGAATTTCATTGTCAAAGGTTCTTACCTGCACTTCTCTCAAAATATAAATTTCAGCGTTTTGCCGTTCTGTTTTACTTAGAGCTCCACATTCCTTTGAGTTCTTTTTACATTTATTTATAAATCTGAAAATCAAACTTATGATACGTATTAATTTTTGAAATTTATTGGAAATACAAATTACATCATCAAATAAAGCAGAAGTTTTCACAGTTAAACACACTGAGTCCTTAGATTTGAATTCTGATAAATAATTTTTATCAGACTGGTTTAGTTCAACTGCAGAGTTCAAGGAATTGAAAGAATCAGGTCCGTGAAACCAAAATTGGTTATTCACAAGAAACTGGGCATCTATTCCTCTAGAAAAGAGGTCTGCCGGTTGTTTTTTGAAGTGATGTGAGACCAACGCTACTCCTTAGTAAGCTCTTGTATTTGAGCTACTCGATTGCTCACAAAGGTTTTTAAAAGATGAAGAGGAATATAAATCCTCGATAAGGCTATAGTAGAATCAGTCCTGAGAAAGACTTGATCTATTTTTAATTTCAGTGCATTAAGCACTTTTCTTGTGAGCTGGGCTATCAGTAGACAAGCTGCTAACACCAATCTCGGTATGGTGACACTTTTAATGGGTGCCACTCTAGATTTACTGCAAAGAAGAAAGGTGTTATTATCAGATGAATAACACACTGACTGTAAGTATATCACTGCACCATATGCCTTTTCCGAGGCATCGGAAAACCCATGTAGGAAAATTTCCTTGGGATTTGGTCGAAGCACAATTCTTGGTATTTTTATGTTTTTCACGTAGCTCAGACTTGCAATGAATGAAGACCACTCCTGAGCAATGTCTGAGGGCAGTTTCTGACTCCAGGCGATCTGAAGCAGCCACAGACGTTGAAGAAATATCTTGGACTTGCTAATTACAGGACCAAGAAGTCCGAGAGGATCAAAGAGTTTAGCTATCTGAGACAGAACGTCTCTTTTTGTAAACTCAGTAGTGGAACTACTAGAGATATCAAATAAGAAGGCATCTTCACAATTGCTTCACATCATTCCTAGAGTTTTCACTGTTGACTGTTTTTCGCAGTAGTTGAAGGGGTAGAGGTCCGATTCACTGCTCGCACTAGAACACCACTTATGTAGAGTCATGCCATCTCGAGGGAGTAGTTCTCCGAGTCCTTTCTTCAGTGCCATAAATTGGTTCATATCGGACGCACCGGAAAGGCAGTCATCCATGTAGAAATCCTCTAGGAGCACTTTTGATGCTATGGATTGATTTCCCTCTCATCTTCAGCAAGTTGTTGAAGAGCCCTTGTTGCTAGGAAGGGAGCACTAGTAGTGCCGTACGTCACAGTCTCTAAGGGAAACACTTGGACATTCACTTCAGGTCCTTCTTTCCATAATATTTTTAGATATTTTCTTTGATGAGGGTTCATCTCAATTTGTCGGAACATTTTACTAATATCCGCAGTAAATGCATACTGGTGTTTCCTAAATCTTGTAAGAATGGAAAATAAGTCCTCCTGTAGGACACCACCAGTGCACAATAGGTCATTTAAAGAATAACCAGTTGTGGTCTTAGCACTGGCATCGAAGACTACTCTAAGTTTAGTAGTGATGCTAGAGGGACGTAAGACACCTTGGCGAGGCAAGAAATAACCGTCATCATTAATGTGGTTACAGTTAGTTATTTCTTCCATGTGATTTAGGTTCTTATATTATCGTAAGAATTCCGAGTATAAGAATTTCATTGTAGGATCCCGATTTAGTATTTTCCATAAGTTATTGAGCCTTTTTGAAGCCATTTGATAGGAATCACCCAGACTAATTTTTTCAATCTCGGGTTTAAAGGGCATTTGTACCACATATCTTCACTGAGAATTTCGATAGAGAGTTTTTTCATAGTGCTCATTACAATAATTTAGTTCCTCACTAATTGGGGAACTGTCACAAGTCACATTTTCTATTTCCCAAAATGACCTTAATGTTTTATCTAAGGTATCCATGCCTCTGGACAAAAAACAAAGACTAGTTACATTATTAATTTGGAAAATAGGTTCTATGCTACCAGCAACTATATATCCAAAACAAGTATCTTGAAGAATTAAACGACTATCATTTAGTCGAATTGCATCTACTTTGATAAATTCGAAAAAGAGTTCACAACCCAATAAGAGATCAACTTTTTGTGGTATATAAAAGGTTTCTTCAGCGAGTTGAATATTTTATGGAATTTCCAATTTGGAAACATCTAACCTGGTTGCAGGTGACAAATCTGTTATCTGGTAATACCATTAATTCGATATCCCATTGATAATTTCCGTTTGAGTTGGACAAACTGGTTGCCACCTTTCTGCTAGCATTTTGAGTTGAACCACAAATTCCACTAACAGGCAAGAATAATTTTTCTTTTTTTAATCCCAAAAAATTTGCACAATCCGAACTTATAATATTAATTTCGCTAGCTGAATCTAGAATTGCTCTCACTTTTACAAATTTGTTTTCTTTATTGCGAATGAAGACTCGAGCAGTGCACAGAAGAATCGACTTACGGTTTAAAAAGTCGAGCAACAAAAACTTGTAGCCGTCTGTTCTACTTGCGTAGTTGATGAGTGGGGAGAAGCACTGAGGGGAGTATCTTCCACCTCGCGGCAGGAGTTGTTTTTGTTGTTTATTTTTGAGTCGTCATGCAGTAAAGAATTGTGACTATCACCACATATGAAGCAGTTATATTTCGATTTACAGTTTGTATTCGGATGAAAAGAAACATTTTTTGCACAGTTTATTTCTTTGAACACAATCTATGCGATCAGAAAGTTTGAAGGTTTTAAATTTAGAACATCAATATAGAGGATGGGATTTATCGCAATTTTGAAGAACACATTTTTTACTTTTGTTATGAGAATTCACAATTAGTGCTTTTGGACGGGGAAAAAATTGTTTGGCTTCACAAACTGCTTATTTGAGTTAGATTTTACCGTAATAGTACAGTTTTGGCTTATACCCTCTAGAATGCGGGTACGATCTTCTATGAAATTTCAGAAACTATCAAGCGATAAAATTTCACTGGATTTATTTTCCATTTGGAATAAATTTTGTGATTCGGAATCAATTTTTCTTTCCAAAATATGTACTAATAATGCGTCAGATAAATTGTTTCTAGCTAACTTCAAGTTTTCTAAAGCTCTTAGATTTCTTTTCACAATGTCTACAAGATTTCTTAGTTGCCTTGGAGAGTCATTTGCTTTTCCGACTAATAATACATTTTTAATAAGTGTGTCTATAACAGCACGCTTGTTATGGTAGCGCGCATCTAATGCTGATAGTAAGGATTTAAAAGTATCTTGATTACTTTCAATGAACTTGGCATCACCTTTTAAGGACGATTTCAAGTAAAAACATTTTTGATTGTCATTTAAACTTTCATTATTGCCTATGATAGACATACATTGAGTTTTAAATGATTCGTATTCCTCATATTTAAATTCAGGCAAGGGTAAATCTGGAATTTTTAGTTTTGTTTGTGGACAGTCATCGGCACATTGCCAGCATTAGGTGCTTTGCAATACTTAGTTAGTAAAATTTTAAATTTTACCTGCAGATCTTCGATTTCTTCTTTCATGTTGCAGATAACCTCCAGCGTTTCTTCCAAGTTAGTGCTATCTGGTAAATCCAAATAGCCTGCTAGAAGCTTCTTCATTTCTGCTTTCAGTTCTAACACATTTTGCAACTTTTGATTCAGAATAATTTCAGACTCTTCTGGCGTGGCTGGCGGTTCATAGGACTCCGCAGCTTTATTTAGCCTTGTTACTCTATCCCTGATCGTTCCGCGAAGGCGGTTTAGTTTTTGCAACATATATCTCCAGGTCGCTCGGACCAAAAAACGGAAGATAGATCAGAGGGTAAATAAGAGCAGTGGACTGTTAATTATATAAATTTATTGTAAACTAAAACATGAACGATCAAGGCACAATTTAAATAAATTCTTAAGTAGTACCATTTAAAGTGAGACGATTCTCATTTCCAAGGGGGAATACCACACAGGGGTCCGTTCGCTTAGGCGATCCGAACGAAAATGAACTCTTTCCAAGGACACGAAAGGGGACAGCTAAAAGTTCATTAAACTCTGCACCCTCAAGTGCCGCGAAACTCCGCGGCGAATGGAAGGACGCGTAGGCGTCAACAATGAGCATGGGTGGTTTAGTGGTAGAATGCTCGCCTCTCAAGCGGGCGTCAAGGGTTCCATTCCCGGGCGATGCAACGTGTGATTTCCTGTTCAAATTTTGCAATCTTAATTCCTCTTTTGCCATGAGAGAGAAACAGGATCAGTTCATTCTGCACCTACGGTGAGAATAAAATGAACATCGGTGGTTCAGTGGTAGAATGCTCGCCTACCACGTGGGCCGCCCGGGTTCCACTCCCAGTCGATGCAACGGGTAATTTCCTTTTCCAATTTTAAAATCTTAATAGCTCTATTGCTAAGTGAGAGGAAGAGGATCAGTTCATTGCGCACCTGCGGCGAGAACAAAATGAGCATCTTGGGATAACAAGTATAATGCACATCTGCCTCAAGGGTGGCCCGTTTTCGATTCCCGGCTTACGTAACGTGTGAATTTCAGTTTCAATTTTAGAATCTTAGTAGCTCTTTTTCTATGCGAGAGAAACAGGATCAGTTCATTGCGCACCTACGGAGAGAATAAGCTGAACATCGATGGTTTAGAGGTAGAATGCTCGCCTGCCACGCGGGCGGCAATTTTCGATTCCCGTACGATGCAACGGGTGATTTCCAGATCCAATTTTGCAATCTTAACAGCTCTTTTGCTATGCGAGAGAAATAGATTCAGTTCAATGTGCACCTACAGACACAAAATAATGAGCATCGGGGGTTCAATTGTAGATTGCTCGTCTGCTAAGCTGTCGGCACGGATTAGATTTCCGGCCGATGCGACGGGAGATTTCTTGTTTAAATTTTGCAATCTTAATACCTCTTTTGCTATGCGAGAGAGATAGGATCAGTTCATTGTGCACTTACGAACACAGCATAATGAGCATGGGTGGTTTAGTAGTAGTATGCTCGCCTCTCACGCGGGCATCAAGTGTTCCATTCCCGGGCAATGCAACGTGTGAATTCCTGTTTAAATTTTGCAATCTTAATACCTCTTTTGCTATGAGAGAGAAACAGGATCAGTTCATTCTGCACCTACGGTGAGAATAAGATGAACATCGATGGTTCAGTGGTAGAATGCTGGCCTACCACGTGGGCGGCCCGGGTTCCATTCCCAGTCTTCGCAGCTCTATAATGAAGAAGTGAGTAAAATTCTGCATTTGAAATTTCTCGGGAAATATCGAGAAATATCGAAACTTTTAAATCGTTCTAAAAGTATGATTTATCGTGTATTAACCCGTAAGACAACATATGAGCCAAACCCTTATTCGGGAAGACCACATGTGACGGATATTCGCAATGATAGACGGATACAAAGATTAGTTTCAAGTCAGGAAATGACGGTTCGTGATATTACTAGGGCTTCCCGGTTGCAAATCTCCAAGTACACTCTTGATAGAGGAATTATTGAACCTGGTTATATAATCCATGCAAAAATGGCTCGCAGATTACCACTCTCAAAGCTTCACATTAGTAAGAGATTACAATAGGCTCGTAATCATATGTCATATGGTGATAAATGGATAGCTGTCCTTTTCACTAATGAAAAAAATGTACCCTCGATGGACCTGACGGTAATATAAAATATTCGCATGATTTACGAAAAGATCCCAGGAGCTTTTTCAGTAGGGAAAGTGGTGATGGATCTGTGATGGTGTGGGCGTCTTTCGGTTTTAACAGTCAAGTGGGTTTGGTGTTTTTAGATGGCCAACAGAATTCTCTTAAATACATCGAAACACTAGAAAATAATCTTATGTCATTTGCAGAACATAGGGGGACGAATTTGGGAATATCAGCATGATAATGCTCCCATCCATACCTCCAATGCTACGAAAAATATTTAAACTCGAAAACTGTTACTGTTCTTGAGTGACCACCGATGAGCCCTGATCTAAACCCAATTGAGAATGTGTGGGGCATTATGTCTCGGAAGGTCTATGAGAATGGAGGGCAATTTTATTCAGTTAATGCTTTGAAGACAGACCTCGAAAGTGCATGGTACAACTTGGAACCAGAGATATTATAAACCTTAATTATGTCGATGGAAAAACGTGTATACGATGTCAAACTGAAAAATGGAAAGGCTTTAAACTATTAAGGACATTGTATTGAGCACATTTTGCTGAAATGTCATATATTCTATTCACTTTTCGGACACCTAATATTTCCATTTTGTTATATAATTAAAATACAAATTCCTATTTTTTCTAAATATTTCGTTTAATGCAAGTCGCATGTGGTTTGAACAAACATATTTGTAATTGGTGTTTTTATGCCTTTCAGTTTTGCTAAAAAATAAATTTTAGTAGAGTCTATAAACTTTTGGGACAGAGTTTATATGTACAGTATATATTTTCTACTGACTATGTTTTGATAGGATAATTTTACACTATCTATATATTTATAGGGGATTCATATAATGACCATATAGGATTTGAATTCTGTTTCTGTAATCGAGATCACAATTTAAAACAAGAACACATTAACCCATCCTTCTTCTTTTTTTCATCTGGTCGCTTTTAGGTCTACACCGACAATACTTTGTTCAGTGTAGATCGATTAATGTCTTGTTTTGGAACTACAAGTTGCGGTTTTGGGAAGGGATTTCGTAATTTTGAACATTTATGATAGAAGACCTGACTAATTTAACTGTGGCAAAGTGGAAATGGGCTAGGAGAACCATAAAATACCAGATGAGCTTAAAAATGAAATTAATGAAATAACTAATACTGTAAGGGACACCTCAGAGGACATTTTAGCTGCAAAGGACAATGCTCGAAAGAAAACTTGGCTAATTGAAAAAGCACATTTATAATCAGTCAAAGAATAAACTTAAAATTCAAAGAATGGCCCAGATAAATAATTCTGTTTCACAATCATTTGTTATTGCTGTTTGCCAGTTGATCTTAAAATATAACGTTCACAACAATGCAAGTGTTGGTGATAAGATCGTAAGGCTTTACAAAATCTTTTAGCCAATGAAAAAAATTCTGTAAATTTCTACAGCAGTAGAAAGAAATAATTTTGTCTCTTATTAAGCTCATAGACAGGTAATTTCTTCAGATATAATGCCATACACAACTTTACATATGGACTGTCTCTCTGGCTGCTTACAACATGGCTAGTTAAATGTATCGGACACTTTTCAAAACACTCTTGTATTGAAATGGTGATTATAGAAGACTATATTTTGGTGGTATGCATTTAAGAACATAGAAAAGCAAATTGCAGGAAGAAACAGGAGAAAAATTTTTAAAGAAGCAATCATCAGGAAAACAAATTGTCACCTTTTTCAGCTGGCATCGCTTTATTTAAGTGCATAAGAGCATTAAATTAATTGGCTACTGGCTGCTAATTCCAATTGCCAATATCTATTGCATTTCTAAATCGCTTATAATTCGTAAGCAATATATATCACTATTATGATTGGATAATTAAACGACGGAATTTGGATTGTTGACAATTACACAACGGTCTATTTTCTCTCTTATCTTCATACATCTTTCTTGAAACACGTTCGCAACATGCATTTTCTGTATTTTGAAATGCATATCACCAAGTTTTTTTTTCCTTAGGACCATTAATTTCTTCTCTAGAGTGCTTTGAATTAATATCAATTTTATTTCTCTAACCACACAGTATAGCATTCTTTTAATTCCTTTTTATCGAAATCTATCAAACGAAATAACATAATCTTCAATTGTATTATCTCCATCGTTTAAGCTTAGTAAGAAACTAGGAATGAAGGCAGCAGTTGTTGTTCCATCCGTAATCGAAACTGGGCCTCATTCTCGATATATTGAATGCAACAAATATTAACATACTCTACATGAGAAGTACGAAGGCCTTGAAACAAATAATGTTGTGTTTAATTATCTCCCATCTTCTCGAAGACAATAGAAAAGATCATTCTGGTTTTGTAGATAGGAATCCGTGAAATGCGTTATGAAATTTTGTTGCTACTTTTTCGAAATGCAGCAAACCTTACATCGTGCTCTACTTCGTATCTTAAATATTTTGCATGACGTAATGTTTTCAATTCAAATTTTAGAGTTGCTCTTTCGGAAATACGACACATTCTCTTTCCTGTTGTATATCATTTATTAAATATTTAGTTCTATACAATATTTTGAAATTTTTTGGTAATAATTGATTTTTTTTATGTTCAATGCCACCAAATGATCTCAGAGACAGGCATAGAATTGCAAACAAAAGTTGAGGAATTTAATTCTGAGGTATTTATGTCAGGTTGTTTAACACTTTTATTTTCCTCTTTTGGATATTTTGCTCTTGAATGATAATCTGCCATCTGATTTAATCTACCTGGTTTATGGATTACAGTATAATCAAACTGTTGCAATGTTAACATCCACCTAGAAATTCTCGAATTTGGATCTTTTCATGTTAAGATTTTAGACAAACACTGTTGGTCACTGTAGACAATGAAGTGTTTTCCAAACAAGTAATTTTTGAAATGGTGTAAAGCAAAGACTATGGCCATTGCTTCTCGTTCGACAATTGAATAACATGTCTCTGCATCATCTAGTTTTCCTGAAGCAAGAGAAACTGAGTGTTGAATTTTAACTCATCTTCTTGGACTAAGACCTCTCTGAGCGCGTACTTGCTCGCGTCTATACAAACCGAGATTTGTTTGCTAAAATCTGGTAAAGCCAAACATGTTTCTGACATTAAATAAATTTTAAGTTTCTCAAATGTCGATTGTTCTTTCTCTGGCCATTCAAATTTTGTGGTTTCTTTAGTTAATTCACTTAAGGGGAGGGCTACATTTTAATAGTTAGGAATGAATTTTCCTCTAAAAGCCTTTCAAACCTAAAAATGATCTAACTTGTTTTCTATTTTTGGGAGGCAAGGTCTTTTTGACTTTTGAGTCCAAATTCTTTTTGTCTGGAAAAATCTGACCTTCTTTAACAGTATGGCCTAAATAAGTAATTTCTTGTTGTAAAGAGAACCACTTGCTGGGTTTCACTTTTAAATTTGCTTGTATGAGTCTATCAAAAACCATTTTAAGTATCTCGATAAGTGTGCCAAAATCTTTGAAAGCTATGACTAAGTCGTCTATATAACAAAAGATTTA